CCTGTTCACAAAACCTTCATATCTTTTCTGATTGCAGTCAGCTGGGGTTTGATGGTAGAAACTGGGTGAGTGTGGTCCCCGGACTGTGACATTTAACCCGAAAGCAGGGAGCGGGCAAGAATAAAGACAGCTTGACTCACCCCTCCAAGACCCAGTGGGGTCTTCCAGAATCGATGGGCGACTTGTCAAGTCAGCATTGGTTGTGTTGGGATTCTCATGAAGCAGGAAACCTCGTGGATAAAAAAAGACAGGGTGGGGGCAAACGGCGAGGATAAATTGATATTTAAAAGAAAATTAACTTGCGTGTACCCGAGGAAATCTGCAGTGAAGACATTCACCCCACTGGGAGAACCCTCTTCAGTCGTTGAAGAAACCAGTGATAAAGAAGCTTTTTGAGGACTCCTGCTCCCTTTACTGTGTGTAGACAAAAGCCAACATCCTGCTTGGCCGAAAAACGAGCCAAGCACACTGCCAAGGACATGTTGAACACTGAAAGCACTCACTGTTAAGGGCAGTGTTTGAGTGTTTGAGCAGCATAGGTGCAAGAATTTACAGAACCATCCACACGTTTCCAGAATAAATTGAGCTCCCGCGGCGTTTTAAAGGTTTGACTTTTTTTTAGCTGCAAAACATGAATAACTCTCAAGAGGTTAAAATGAGAGAAATGTGAGCGCTGGGAATCTAAAATCAGCACAGAAATGCATGGTAACATCACTTGTTGAATAGCGTAGGAAATGATCTGGGGGACAGGGGCTCAAGGGAGCTGGTGGGATTTCAATCCAGTTCAGAAATCCAGTATCGTGTAATTGGTGATTGCAAAGTGAGCGTCAATGGCTGTTAAAACCCATCTAGCTCACCAATATCCTTTAGGGAAGGCAATCTGCTACCCTTACCCAGTCTGGCCTATATGTGGCTGCAGAAGGCACAGTGTGTGACAGTCTCTACCCACTCCCCCGCGCTCCCCCAACACCACCCCACCCACCCCCCCACACCCCCACTGCTGCTTCGGTGCATGGATTCCCGGTATGCATGAAGGGCAGTGCCATTCTCAACATCAACCAAGCTATGTTCTGGTGCTTGTTGGAAGGTTGTGGCGTTTTTGGTACAGTAGTTGGGTCAGCCCAGTGGGAATGGGAGAAGGGGGCGAGTTGGGATCCGCAAAGTTGTCTTTGACCTTCACCCGAAACCAGGCCAATAGGGAAAGACTCTCAGACCACCAGGAGATCTCTGACCACAGTCTGCCACAGGATACATACCTCGAGGCAACTACATTACCCCCTCCTCACCCATTTAGAAAACTGCAACGTTCTTGCAAAAATGGCCAGCACCGGAAATGAAACAAAAACAGAAGTTGTTGGAAAAGCTCAGCAGGTCTGGCAGCATCTTTGAAGGAAAAAAACAGTTAACATTTCGGGTCAGTTCTGAGGAAGGGTCACCAGACCCGAAACGTTAACTCTGTTTTTTCCTTCACAGATGCTGCCAGACCTGCTGAGCTTTTCCAGCAACTTCTGTTTTTGTTCCTGATTCACAGTGCCTGCAGTTCTTTCGGTTTGTCGTTTTTTATTTAGCACTGGAAATGGAGTTGGGAAACGAGCATGCCAGGCTGTGCTGGTATTTTCAGGCCATATCCAGCTCTGTGCCTGCCTGCCATTGGGCGTAAAAATCGAGGCCTTGACGTTGACACGGTGGCCTTAAACAAAATCCCATAATTTCACACTGGGAGCTTGCTAATGCTGAGGCATCAGCGACCATTCCACCTCAATTTTTCCATTAAATATAAATTTAAATGGAAAGTTCCCTGGGATTTTTTCCAAACTCTTTCTGATTTACCTGGAATGACATCGTCCAGAAGATGAGATCCGTCCATGAGGGGAATCAAGTCAATTGTACATTATTGACATTTGTGACACAATGAAAAAAATTGGTGTGTGAACTTCCAGAAGATTCTGTGCCCCAACTAAAAATGGGTTTGCCAAATGTGTTTTCCTGAGGGTGGTTATGATCCTTATTCTGAGTTTTGTAAATCTAGAATTGCCAATGATTCTGGTTCAGTGCGCCAACAACACTTATGTAGCTCCTTTAACTTAGCAAAATGTTCCAAGGTATGACAGGAGAGTGATCAATATCAGATCACTGGGATTAGAAGCAGACAGAGACCATTCAGCCCCTCAGCTCTGCTCTGCCATTCACTAAAGTCATTACTAACCTGCTTCGATTCATCACCTTGTTCCCAACCACCCCCCATAACTCTATCTCCCTTATTCATCAGAAATCTGTCTAACTAAACCTTGTATATATTTCACAACACTCTCCACTGCTCTCTGGGGTAGAGAATTAAAGACCCTCTAAGAGATTAAGTTCCTCCTCTTCTCTCCTTTGTTTGGGCAAAATCCTCACCATTGTCACCATTTATGACATGGTGCAGTTAAACCATCAGGGATGCCTGCAGTAACAAGGTCAGCCAGGTGGACCCATAGAATACGAGTTCCCTGATTGGTGCTGTTAACCTCGTCCAATCAGGGAGCGCTGGCTGACAGATATAAACAGGAGTGCTGGGGGTTCTGTTCATTCTGAGAGCTGGCTCTGAGGGAGCTGGATCAGTGTCAAGGACTCTCCATGTGTAAATAAAGGGTGACTTGCTAATGGGATACCGGCTCCTGTGGAGTTATTTCACCCTGGGGTAGTTCCATTGTTGCTAATCCCTCTGTTTGGGGTTAATCTAAGTCCCCAGTGGGGAAGGATATCCCTCATTTTCAGCAGAAGAGAGGCTCAATCTTGATACACAGTAAGGGTTTATTCCAAGTCACTTATTAACTATACCACCTATTTATCTCCACCTATCATTTACTTCTTAACCCCTCTCCCCACCCTGTCTTCTGCATTAAAAAGTGACAACTTCCAAGCTATCATCAGTTCTGAGGAAGGACCTGAAACATTAACTCTGATTTCTCTCCATAAATGCTGCCAGACCTGCCAAGCTTTTCCAGCAATTTCTGTTTCTGTTTCTGATTTCCGGCATCCGCAGTTCTTTCGGTTTTCACTTATTAACTGGTTACTTTACATCTGAGGTACATAATGGCCTCTTGTGAGGCATCAAGCTCAACTTAAGAGTAAAAACACATTACTGGTGCCAAAACATTGTGGTGCACACAAAACTGCTTATTATTTAGGCATTATTTAGCTTCTTCGAGGTACAGTCCTCAATATTTTATAAAAGGGCGGATCTTATCTTCTGATGTCACTTAACCCTTTTGATAACTGCTTTATATAACAACCTCCATTTTCAACGGGAGGTCCTTGATTCTGAAATCACGTCTCTTATTCTGTATTTCCCCATGAGATTATGCACCCTCCCAAGCCCCTCAGAACTTTAGGTTTCAATCAGATCACCCTCTCACTGTTCTGCAATGAGTACAGGGGTAACTGGCTGAGCCTTTCTTCCAAAGTCACCTAGAGACCACAAGGATCTATCTAGTCAATGTTATCTGAACTGACTATATTGCACATGTAAAAGGCCTAATAATTCAGAATCCCCTGCAAATGTTCTGGGGACTTGGCTTTGAATTCTACCATAGCCAAATGGCAACCACATAACTGTTGTGGCAAAACCCCATTTGGCTCCATAATATCCCTTTAAGGAAGGAAATCTGCTATTCTTACCTGGTCTGGCCTATATGACTCCAGGCCCACAGCAATGTGGTTGACTATTCACTGCCCTCTGGGCAATTATGGATGGTTAATAAATGCTGGCCTAGCCAACAATGCCCAAATCTAATGAATGATTTTTTTTTGAATTCCTTAAACAAGGAGACTAAATTATAATTCGTGTTATTCTAGCTATGGTCTCACTAAAGCCCTGAGCAGTTTTAGAAAGCCTTTCCTACTTTTACACTTCATTCACTTTGCACTGAAGGTCAACACTCTATTTGTCTTCCTAATTACTTGTTGTACCTGCGTGCGCTAACTGTTTGTAACTCATGTACAAGGACACCCAGATCACTCTGTGTCAGGGCATTCTGTGATCTCTCTTCATTTTAAATCATTTTTGACACAGAGCCAAAGAAGGACATTTGAGGGCTAGCAGCCAAAATCTTGGTCAGAGGGTTAGATACTAAGTAGCTTCTAAAAGGAGAGAATTGAGGTTTAAGAAGGGAATTACAGACAGAAGGATCTGGATAACACAAGGCATGGCTTCTCACACTAAACGATTAAAAACAGGGACGTGCAAGAGGTCAGCATTATCAGGTAGGGCTGGAAGAGTTGACAAAGATCAAGAGGACTTGGGTGCGATTGAGGATGTGAGTGAGTGAATGTGAGTGACTGAGTGAATGAGGGAGTTCAAATAACTCCACAGAGGCCGGTATCCCATGGGCCTTTATTCACACATGGAGAGTCCTTGAGACTGACCCAGCTCCCTCAGAGCCAGCTCTCAGAGTCAACAGAATCTCTGACCCTCCTGTTTATACCTGTCAGCCGGGGCTCCCTGATTGGAGCAGATTAAGAGCCCCAGTCAGGGAACTCTTATTCTATGAGGTCCACCTGGCTGACCTCGTTACGTGGCAGTTGACTGACAGTAAGGGTGAGCCATGTAGTCAGTGCCCAGTTCACAATCCCCGCGCAGGGAGTCCGGGGGTACATGAAGGATCTGACGGGTAGTGCTCTTCTCACCACCGGCCAAGCGATGTCTGGGTGGTGCTTGTTGGAAAGTTCTGGCAATGAAGAATTCTGCCAAGTAACTTTGACAGTCTGCTCAGGCAACAACCCGACAGGATCCACCCTCTCCCCATCCCTCGGGGTCTCAAGGACGCTCTGTGCTGACCACTTCATGTTGGGCTTGTGGTCAAAGATATTTTCCTTTGCAAATTTCTCCACGAGAGACGGGTGATACGGAATGGTCCAATCACTTGGAGCGTTCCACATCAACGAGGCCAGTCCCATCCTTTGCAATGCCAGGGACAGGGTAGAACCTCAGTGCCTAGAGACACTTGGTGTTTACATACTGAGGGTCTATGCACAGCTTGATGCAGCCGCACACAAAGACAGCCATTGGGGTGAAGGTGGCATTGGGTACGTTCTCCGCCCCCACACCCTGCCCCAACCCCTTATCCAGAGCTTTGTACATAGTGTCCCTGTGGACACAGTCCATCTTAGACCTCCAGATGAAGCAGAAGATGGCTCAGGTAGCGGTAAAGTCTTGGGATATAGGCTAGACCTGAGCCACGTGCAACAACAGAGAGAGTGCTTCACACCTGATAACCAGGTTTTTACCCGGAATGCTCCCTAAAGCCCAGTATGTGCCTCACCTTGACGATTTGCTCTTCCCAAGCTTTTGTGCACACCCCGGCCCCTCCAAACTGAGGGAAGGAGATGGTTTGGTAACGTTGTCTCAGCCTGACATCCTGAGGATCGGCAAATCCTTTTGTACCAGTCTATATGACACAAAGGCCACCCAGTTGTTCCTGTCCTCTATCGCGGAGGTCTTAGACCACAGCACGGGGTGGGGGGAGAGGCTGGGCCAGCCGCTATCTCTGAATGAGCTGGCCAAGGTCCTTGAGTCCTTAGAAAGGGTAAAACTCCCAGAAAGCGATGGCTTATTGGCCAAGTTGTATTCGGCTCTGTGGGACCTGATTGGCCAGGATCTGCTGGAGGTGTATGACAGTATTCTTCCAGCAGGTACTATGTGTCAATCCATGAGGAAAGGTAACATCACTCTTATCTACAAGCGGAAGGGGGAGAGGGAGGAAGTTAGAAATTGGCACCAATTTCACTGCTGAATGCAGATTACAAAATCCTGTCTAAGGTCATCGCCAAGTGGGTCAGGTCTGCTCTGGGCTCAGTGACTCACCCCAACCAAACCTGTGCTGTACCTGGCAATACGATCTCTGATAGCCTCACGCTCCTTAGGGATATGATCACCTACGTGCAGGAAAATGGGGTGTGGACACCTGCCTTCATCAGCTTGGACCAGGAGATGGCCTTTGACACAATATTGCTCAAGTACATGTGGGACATCCTTCTCCAGAATGGGCTTCGGGGAGGGAATCTGTAATTGGATCCAACTGCTCTACACCAACATCGTTGATGCAGTTTCGATCAATGGGTGGGAATCGGAAAGCTTCCCGATCAGATCTGGAGTCAGGCAGGGCTGCCCATTCCCTCCTGCCTTGTTTGTGCTTTGTATAGAGCCTTTTGCTGAGTCCATCAGGGGCCTGATGTGAGCCTGAGAGGGACGACTATTCCAGGTAGCGAGACCTGCAGGATAAAGCCTCCCTGTGCATGGATGATGTTGCCATTTTCTGCACGGATCCACTGTCGATTCGCAGACTCATGAGAATCTGAGACCAGTTCGAACTGGCCTGGGGTCCCAAGGTAAATTGAAGCAAGAGCGAGGCCTCTTTTGGAACTGGGCAATTGATCCTTTATCCTCTTCATTGTCAGGACAGATTACCTGAAGCTGCTGGTAATATGGTTCAGAGGGGTCAGATGTATCAAGACGTGTTTTGATTTCAAAAATATACTTTATTCATAAAAATATCTTTATATATACGTACATAGTCACTGAAGCAGTTTGGTTCTGTACAGTAGCATATGAAGAAACAAACAAACATTGGAGTTTGACTCGATCCAACAAACAAACCAAAGGCATTTGTTACTTGTACAAGAATATTTTTACATATATTTGAGGCACCTGATAAGGAGGGTTGATAAAGAGGGGCTGATAAGGAAGGGTCACCAGACCTGAAACGCTAACTCTGACTTTTTTCTTCTCAGATGCTGGCAGGCCTGCTGAGATTTTCCAGAAACTTCTGATTTTGTTGTTGGGGCCGATAACTGAAAGGACCCCCATTTAATTTTGGCAGGAAGACCTCAGACTGTGGTCTTTCCCCAGTGTGCCCTGGCAGCAGCTGCCCCAAGCTTTAGTGCGTCCCTCTGCACATAGGCCTGGGCCTTGGAATGTGCCAGTCTGCAACACTCAGTCAGGGTCAACTCCTTGCTCTGGAAGACCCAACAAAATTCGGACAGACCAAACAGTATCTTTCACCAGGTTGATGGTCCTCCAGGTGCAGTTGGTGAGCATCTGGTTTGCAAACTTTGACAGCAGGTGAGATTTGAACCCGTGCCTCCCAGATCAGAGGGAGGGCATTACCACTGCACCACAAGAGCCTTCACTGTTAAGGTTGCAGTTATTTTAATCGCCCTGTTCAGTGACATTATGACACACATCCAGGGTGAATGGAACTGGAAATCAGACCTCCAAGCTCAGAGATAGGGACACTACCACAGCCATACACCAGGCCTTGTAGTCACTGCTGTACAATAAGGGCAATGTGGCGGCCAGCTTGCAATCAGCAAACTCCCACAAACTGTGATCTGAAAATGAGCAGAAATTCTGCTTTAGAGGCATTGATTGAGGGATAAATATTGGCCAGGACATCAGAGAGATCTCCTGGGCTATTCTTCAAAATCATGCCTTTGGAGATTTCCATCCACCAAATAGGGCTGATGCAATCTCGGTTTCCCATCTCAGCAGAAATACGACATCCTCAATAGTGCGGTACTCCCTCAGTACTAACCCTCCGACAGTGCGGCACTCCCTCGGCACTGACCCTCTAACAGTGCGGCGCTCCCTCAGTACTGACCCTCTGACAGTGCGCCGCTCCCTCAGTACTGACCCTCTGACAGTGCGGCACTACCTCAGCACTGACTCCCTGACAGTGCGGCACTCCCTCAGTACTGACCTTCTGACAGTGCAGCAATACCTCAGCACTGACCCTCCGACAGTGCGGCACTCCCTCAGTACTGACCCTCCAACAGTGCGGCACTCCCTCAGCACTGACCCTCTGACAGTGCCGCACTCACTCAGAACCCAGTCGGAGTGTTGGCCAGTTTCTTTGTGCTAAAATGTCTGGAGTGTGACTGAACACGCACACAGCCGCTGGTGTGAACCATCAATTGAAACACTTCTGAAAACTTATTTAGGAAGGCGTAAGCACCGAGAAGCAACTCAAAAACAATCAGCGAACAGGAACTAAAACAGAAACTGTTGGATAAAATCAGCAGGTCTGGCAGCATCTGTAGAGAGAGGAACAGAGTTCCAAGTCCAGACTGCCATTGTCAGGTCTCAAAGTAAACAGGGGTCGCTGTGCTGATGAACTTGATATGTGACCTCTTTTTGTTTTCTCCTGCCTCGGTGCCCCTTGACCTACTGAGTGCTTCCAACATTTTCTATTCTTATTAGCTATTACTGATGCTAATCGCCTCCCTGATGAGCATATTTCCAAGCGCTTCCCAGGTTCCAAGGCAGGAATACACACTCCCAGCAACCCATGAGATTAATCTCAGGAATGATTTAAACAATAAGTCAAAATAATTGAGTTTTAAAACAATCCCCAAAGATCATTTACTTATTTGTAATGGACTATGGATTCTTCTGGAAAAGAGCATGTGATAGAACCTTTTTTTAACAAATCTTTATTCACACGTTTTCCAGTTTGAGCCATGAGGATTATACAGATATACACCTGACTGTATCCAATGTGTCCCTCTATACATTGACTCACCATTCCCTCTGCTGTCTTTTCTGGGTATTTCTATTCGAGAAGCACCTCATTTTACCTACTTATAGGCCAAAGAGCAGGACCACATAGAGTCAAACCATCTAAAAATCCTCAGTTTATTCTTTTCCCACAGATTTGTATTTTCTAATCAAGATGGTATTACTCACATCTGGAGCAGGTGGGACTTGAACCCAGGCCTCCTGGTTCAGAGAACAAAAACATGTTGGGAATTACAGTGTTGCTCTTATGAAAAGTCATCTGGACTCGAAACGTTAGCTTGCTCTCTCCACGTGACCCACTGTGATTTCCAGCATTTTTTTTCCAGTACAGATTCCGGCATCTGCAGTAATTCGGTCCTCCTGGTTCAGAGGTAGGGAACACTACCACCTGAGCCATTTTCATAAATTTATGCTTGCATCTTGAGGTATTTTCAATTAATTTCTCAAGCCTTCAGCCTGGAGCAAGTGGGACTTGAACTTAGAACCTGTGAGTCCCAGCACAAGAGCCCATTTACATCTAGGCTGCCACGTTTCTTCCTGAAATGTGATGATTATTGCCTTTTGTGTATTTTGTCAAACATCCTCAGCGAGGCCAGCATATGCAGTGGTCTGGAGTCAGACGTAGGCCAAATCAGGTAAGGATGGCAGACTCCTGGAATGGCAGCAGTGATGGTGGAGCGGGGGCTTCTGGCTGCAGTAGGCCCGGAGTGTGGGGACCTTGCAGAAATCCCTCAGTACTGACCTTCTGACAGTGCG